TTCTCTCTCATCAATGTTTCTAAAATCTCTATCCCTCTCCCTTCCTCTCTGTAAAAATCAATAAAATATATTTTTTTAAAAAGAAAGAAAGAAAGAAAAAGAAAGAAAGAAAGAAAGAAAGAAAGAAAGAAAGAAAGAAAGAAAGAGCTGAAACCGGTTTGGCTCAGTGGTAGAGCTTCGGTCTGCGGACTGGAAGGTCCCAGGCTCGATTCCGGTCAAGGGCATGTACCTTGGTTGCCGGCACATCCCCGGTGGGGGTTGTGCAAGAGGCAGCTGATCGATGACTCTCTCTCATTGACATTTCTAGCTCTCTATCCCTCTCACTTCCTCTCTGTAAAAAAATCAATAAAAAATATATTTTTTTAAAAAAGAAAGAAACCTCAGGGCGTCAGAGGGAGAAGCTCCTCCGGGGCCCAGGCCCAGAGGGGGATGTTTTTCCGGGGATCCAGAGAAGCACCATCGGGAGGGCTTCTCTCTCAGGCTTCGGTCCCTCTGACACACGCTGCTCCCCTCTGGCCACAGGATCCGCCCTGTCGGCCCCGCGGCAGCGGGGCTGTGGGGAGCCGGGCCTGGCGGAGGCTCGGGCACTGGGAGCCCCTCGCTGATCACCGGACCCCCGCCTGAGCGCTCGCTCCGGAGGCTGTGTGTGCTGTGGCCGGCGCCGTGGGCAGTGGCTTCAGGAGGCGAATGTCTGGAGGCAGCTCTCCCCAGTCTCCCTAGAATCTGCCCAGAATCTAGGGTGCATTCACGTGGTCCGTGTTCAAAACAGGTCAAGATGAAAACTCGGAGCAAAAGAGATGCTCAAAAGTCTAGGACGGGTGTCCAGGGATGTATACTGCTCTCTGCATGCCCTGGGCCACTTGTCATTTGTGGGTTTTGGCACCACTACTCTCCCTCTGTCTCTTTCCCCCATAAAATAGAGGTGACGACCCATGTCTTCCCTGGGCTGTTGTGAGGCTCCGATGAGGAAAGGATGCTGTGCTTCCCTTAGCATAGTTTCGGTGAGGGCGGACTTCCTGTGCAGGGGCCCCGCAGACAGAGCCAGAATGCGAGGCAAAGACACTGTGAGGGCCTGAGGCCGAGCACGTTAACCCCCCACCCAAAAGCCCACAAGATGGCCCAGAAATTCGGCCATTTATTCTGCATTTATTCTCAGTAACTACTGGCCTAGTCAATGCTAAGCTCCACAAGCAAGGACACGAAGACAAATGAAGCCACGGCCTCCAGGAAGCCCACAGGCTTGCAGGAGGGACATTACTCAGTGGGACGCATGTGGCAGAGGGTGGGGCGGGGCCTGGGAAGTTCCTGCAGAGCCTCCTAATAACAGGGGAGGAGGCCTGGAGGGAGAGGGTGCCTGGCCTTAGTCGGAAAGGATGAGTGAGGGATGAGCTGGTGAAGGCAGAAGGAGATGAGGCAGAAGACTCAGCCTGTGCAGAAGTGCAGAACGGAGAGAAGGAGGGGACTAGGTCATGGGATGCGGGGGCTGGGGTTCAGGCTCGTGTCTGAAGACAAAGATAGGAGGGCATTGATTTCGCAGGCAGGGCAGTGCAAAGACAACGGCTGCCAGGTTGGTGACCACATGGTGGCGTGCTGAAAGAAGGTTGAAAACGTGCAATACCTGACTATTTAGTCAGAAATTCTGACCTCTTTCACCTGAGATTGTCAAATATTAAAATGACAACAGTCAACACAAAGTCATCTGGTGTGAATAAATCAAAATTACACATTTTTTGTAAGACCAGCCAAAAATGTGTCTTTTGGTGTGCTGCAGAATTTTAGTAATTAATTTGTGTGCCATGATGAAAAAGGTTGAAAATTCCTGGCCTAGGATTCCAGGCTTATCATTTTTATTTTCCAGGAGGAATACAGGTCTTCCAGGCACGTCAGGGCCCAGCTGCAGAAACCTATTCCTGCAGCCAGGCTGGCTCGCAGCTTCTCCTTGGATGCAGGTTGCTAGGCAAAAGGCTCCCCCCCACACACAGTGGTCTGGCCTCCATCGCCCCCGCCCACAGCTGCTGCTCGCACGCCCTCTCCTGGCGGCGCCATGCAAGTGCACGGGCGAGAATGCCGGCCTGCTGGCTGCCTTCCGGAATGTCCTCCAGGCTTACAGCCAAGCCTCCGCCATTTGAGATGAGCAGTGCTGCCCTGGCCACCGGTCTCTTTGCAGCCCATCCTTTCCTGCCTGACTCCACCCCTGCAGAACCCAGGCTGAGCCAGCCGGCGAGGGAGAGGAGGCTGGAGAGGTGGCGGGCAGTTGGTTTAAAGATGCCGGTGTTTACTGAGAGCAGTAGGGAGCCATGAAGGGCATGTGAGCAAGGAAGTAACTTGAGCAGATCTGTTCTTTCAAAGCTCCTTCTGCTGCTGGAGAACAGCCTGGCAGGGCAGGGCATCCAGGAGCATGGGTTGGATTGACTAGCTAGGCTATAGGGCCCAGGGGTCCACTGACCACTGCTTCTTCCCTCCCCTAAGTGACCATGGTGAGAGCCCACAGGAAAGGACAGAACTTGTGGGGGAAGGAAGCCAGGCCTCCTATCCTGCCCCACAGTTGGTTTTTTTCACCCCAGCAGGCACCTTCCAGGTTCCAGGAAAAACGCAGAGCATCTCAAGATTCATCAGATCCCAGGCCCATCGGAGAACTGAGAGGCCTGTGGCCATGGACTCCTACAGTAAAGCAACAGCTCCCCACCTCAAACCCCATATGCTAACTAACATCCTGTTTTCTTGCACAGACTTGATCAGAAATGGAAAAATAGCTTTATTCATGCAGCTTGGTTGAAAAAAAAAATCGTTCAAAACATGGACTCTAGAATAAAACAAAATGCAATTTAAAAAAAGAGGGGGGGGCTGATCAACCCCACCTGGCCAACTGCCAGGTGAGGGGTCCATGAGGGCAGGTGAGTGGGGCTAAATGGAACCAGAAGTCAGGTCTTCTCCTACCTGCCCAGGGCTCCTGTAGCGTTATGCCCCTGGGGACAGGACCAGCATTTGGGTGGCTGACAGCTCCAGCCACTTAGTCCCACTAGTGCACAATCACTGCATCATCAGGCTCAGACAGAAGCTCATGCCTGGCTTTGCCCTGCCGAAACTACTTTGTGTTTACAATGCAGTGACTGAGATAGTCCCAGGACTGTGCCTGCCCCAGGGCCTTTCAACAGAGCAGACCCGGTGCTGGACCCCCAGCCACACGCTGACGAGGACAGAATGCGACTTCCCAGTGATCCTCCTGCTACTTGCCCCAGGAGGATGGTTGGACACACATGCCCACAGGCAAGACAGAAAGCAGGCCAGCCTGTTCTCCTGCATGCCAGTCTCCCGGGACAGGCAACAAGATGCTGCTTCTCACCCTGGAGTCCTTCCCTCCAGATCCCTTGCCCTCTTTCTGCCCACCGCAGAGGGAGTGCCGGTTTTCACCGAACTCATTCTTGCCCTTTAAAAGGTGAGGTCCTGGCTGGCATGGCTCAGTTAGAGGTTTGGTCTGTACAGCAAAGGGTCAGTGGTTCAATCCCCAGTCAAGGGCATGTACCTGGGTTGCAGGTTCAATCCCCAAGTGCAGGAAGCAACCGATGGATGTATCTCTATCACACTGATATTTCTCTCTCTCTCCCCTTCTCCCCTCCTTTCCACTTGCTCTGAAAATCAATGAAAAAAAAAAAAATAACCGTGGTGGGGATTAAAAAATAAAAGGCAGACGAAGCCTTGACTTTCCAGGCTTTCTCTGGCCAGCCCACAGCTCCTCTTCCTCTCTGTCCCAGGCCCACCCACCGGACAGTCCGTTCTACTGGGCCCCACGCCCACGGCAGAGCGGTGATCGCCAGGCCCTAACTCCAGTAGAGATGCCGGATGATGTTGAAGTGAAGGGACAAGTGAAACCAGGGGAAGAGCCCCTAAATCCTAAGCAGCAGAATGGGACCAAGATCTGTATTTTAAAGCCATGCCCCTCTGCAGGGACCGCGACAGGAGCTGGGGACGGGAAACACAAAGACATCTTTACATTTTGTGCGTCTACATCAGATTTCCTAAATTTTCCTAAAATTTCCTTTCTTAAAATAACAACAACTGAAGTGAGTCTGGCCACAGTCCCTTGGTAACTGAAGGGAAGGGGAGAGGTGCAGGGCAGGAGCAGGCTGACAGGCCGCAAACCCGGGTCCCGACTCCTCTACCCAACACTGCCTTCCACATGGATTTAAACACAATAAATTTCCACACGGATTTCTATTGCGAATTTTATTTCAACAGTCAACTGGCCCCAGAGAAGAATTTTTGACATCGCAGGTACTTTGGAAGCACCACTCTATTCTGAGAGCTGTATCCGTGCTTACAAATGGCCTACTTTTTAAAGCTGGCAATCACTATAAAAACACCGAATGACAAAACGTTAATGCATTTTTTTAAAACCAGAAATGATGCCTATGAACGGCTTAAACTTTGTGGAGGGGGTGAAGTAGCCCCAGGGGTCAGGATGCTCACTAGGAAAGGCCCCTGGAGAAGGGGCGCGGGGCAGTGGGAGGCGGAGCAGCCGAGAAGGACACTCAGAACCCGCTGTCAGTGCCCTGCTCCTGGCTGCCCGCACCAGCCACTGCGTGTGCTGGAAGCCTGATGTTTGTGCTGCCAGCCCCGGGACCAGCGGAGGCAGAAGGCTGAAATGCATGGTGCCTCCTGTCCTGCGGTGGGGCCTGAGGAAATCAAAGAACGCTTCTGAAGGCAAGTCGCCAACGGGCAGCACAGCCAGAGATGGTTAAATTCATTCCTAAACGGGAGTTCCCACCAGCCCCCACTCCTCAGAGTCCTGGTCCTCCCTGGTTAACTTCATCCTCCCTTCTCCTGCTCAGCTCACAGTTCAGGATTGAAACTTAGAACCCTCCCTCTTTCCTCCTATCTTGAAACAGAAATTAACTATGTTATGTCTATCACTGCCCACCCTCCCATATGTCCCTGAACACGGACAAGAAACCATTGCTGCCGCCCTCCCACTGCCCCGTGTTCCCGGCCAGAGGCCGGGCCTAGTCGGACTGCTCCTGAGATGATGGCTGGCTGGGCTCAGGTGGCACCCCTTCAGCCTGGTCATCTGCAAAGAACAAAAAAGCGGGGATGCATTAAGAAACAGAAGAAATTGCCTGTTTTCAGGTGTGAGCTTTCTACAAGGCATTCTCATCATTCCCGGGCCAAAGGAGAATTAATTTGCCTTGGATTTGTCAGGAGGCTGGAATTCTAGTCCTCATGTGACACAGGCTGAAGTTCAAACTCCAGTTCTGCCTGCCACAGGCTGGCGGGGGTGAGGGGGGTACGGGGGGATGAAACAAGCCACCCTGAAGCTCTGAACCCCAGTTCCTCCTCCTGTTAATGAAATGGTGCCCACCTTGCAACATGAGGTCAGCATGGGAGCGGGGGACCCTGTGAGAACTAACTCCCGCTAATGGCTTCATCATTTCAGGTTCTGGTTAAGCCCAGAATAACCGCATGAGGTGGGCGCCTTATTAGTCCACTTGGACAGATACAGATTCGGAGGCACCAAGGAGCGGCTTTGCTTGCCCCCGGTAAGTGCTGGAGCCAGGACTTATGCCCAGGCCGCCCAGCACCAGGGCCAGCAAGCTTCACCCACACTAGACCATCTATCTCTCCAGCTAACAGATGCGTCTCACACACGGCAGGTGTGCAATGGGCCTCAGTTTCCTCTTCAGTAAAGACATCGCCGGACTAACCTTGGGGGAGGACTAAAAGGGAAAAAAATCCTTGAACATAAAAGTAACACAATCCAGAGACGGTTAAATTCATTCTGCAAAGGGCCCTAAAACACAATGTCCTCGAAGCATTTTCACATCTAAAATTTCAGGTGAACTTCACAGGCCCATGTTACAGATGAAATTTTACTAGGAGGGCATGTGAGTGACTGAGATCGCCCAGTGCAAGTAGCACAGCTGGGACAGGGTCTCTCTCCAGAGTGGCCTGAGGAGGACTCACCCCTGCCAGACCCTGACTGTCCTGCTGCTGTTCCGCCTCGGCGTTTGTCGATTCCCTCTGCTCTGAGCTCACCACACGCACCTCCCTCCACATCTGTGCCCAGGGGCACTGACAGAGCCAGACACATAGTCCTGTGAAGTCTGAGCTCTTCCATTTATATCTACAAGAACCCCTCTGGGCTGCTGGTTTCCTCGCCTGAGAAAGGGCCCATGCCTTGCTGCCTGCCTACAGGATTTAGGGCAGGGGTGTAAGGAAAACAGGCATCCCAGCCGGGCACATTTTAATTCTCTTCTCCATCTCCCCCCTCTCCACCTCTGTGTCGATTACCCCCCTTCCTCCCGAAAGCCTCCCTGGCTCCCCACAAGCCAGAGGCCGGTGCTCTTACCCACGGCCTCCTGCTCCCCCTCAGACAGGACGGTCAGGGAGAAAGTCGCTGGTGGCGGAGGCGGCGGAGGCGGCGGGAGGAGATGGATGCCGGCGAGGAAGCCTGGCGGGAGGAACGGGGGCGGGGGCGACAGCGGCGGCGGCGGGGGCGGCGGCGGCGGGGGCGGCAGCAGCGGCGGCGGCGGCGGCAGCGGCGGCAGCAGGGGTGATGGTGGCGGCAGGAGTGGGCGCGGCGGTGGCAGTGGTGGTGGCAGCGGGGGGTAGCTCGGCTGGAAGTTGTCCACTGGCTCCGGCACCTGCACGCGCACTCAGCAGAGAAGCCAAAAGGGGAGAGCGTTAGCCAGATGGGCCGATCAAACACGATCTGTTCTCTCTAATTGGGGGCTCCCAGCGGCTGGACACAGGCACTTAAAACGAGGGGCTCAGCAAACATGATTGAAGGCAAGAAGGAACGCAGGCGCACCTCAGATAAGCCTGCGGACAGCCATCCGGTCACCCTGACTGAGCCCTCTCTCTAGGCTTAGATCCGTTACATTTCATCCTTATGATTCTCATTGTAATGATGAAAACCAGGGCCACAGAGCTGGTGAGAGGCTGAGGCAGAGCTGGACCCCCACGTCCCAACCACCTGTGCCCCACTGTCCGTAAGGGGCCTGTCTGGGGTGCCGTGCAGCTGCGGCTGAGTCAGCAAAGCTGGGACCTCAGGAAGAGTGGCTTCCGCCATCAGCCACCTGTGCTTCTTGGCTTCTCCGGAAGACGGAAGCCAGCCCCGTGACCCAGGACCCGCGGCTGGAGGAAGGGGACCTAGAGGGGGGATGCCTGCACAGCTCCGTTTATCGGAGACATGGATGGAATGAAGAACAGGAATGCACGTCAGGTGTGGTTCCTATCTTTTACTTCTCCACCAGACACATCAGAGCAGCACTCACACGCTGTGCTCCAGAGAACCTTCGTGTCCTACAAGATTATTTTTAAGTGCTTTTAAGTGTTCTTTGTCAAGGGAGTTCGAAGAACTCCACGCATGGCCTCACCACAATGGCGAGTCACATGTAAGCACATTAAGGCCGTGGGGCAGTCTGCAGAAATCTCCTTAGATTAACGCAGCGTGTCCTGACCGCCAAGAAGGGAGGAAAGCCTACTTTCCGGTACCTACGACCTGCCAGACCCTGTGCAGGCACTCCACGTGCACACACCTCCCTCTGTGCGAAAGAAACCCGCACCCTGTTGTTCAGACGAAGAGCTGACTGAGGTCCTCGGAGGGAGGTAGCTTCCCCAGGCCACAGACTAGTAAAAACAAGTACGACTGGACCCAGGTCTGTCCAACTCCAGGCCGGCCATCTTTTGTGGGAGGAGAACAAAGGAAGCAAAGAAGCAGCAGGTGGGACAGAGCCGGAAATAAAAGGTGGAAGACATCACTTGGGGTTACCTCGGAGTCTGGGAGGGGGAGCAGGACAAGGTTGGAAGCAATTCCTAGGCTCTTGGGTTTGAGGCAGCTTTACAAATACGTGTTGTATGGGCTATCCAGACAGGAAAGGGTCGGAGGGGGATTATTAGCCCTTTAATTCCAAGCTCCTTGGCTGCTTCTCCCTGGATCACAGCTCCTGCCCGGGGCCTGTGGTGCCAGCTCAGGCCCAGATAAACCGACTGAGATCGCACTCTTCACAGTGGCCGTCTGGCAGGCCTGTCACTCCGAGCACTGCTCTGGACGCAGGCTTCTGTGTGAGCAGACGGTGGGAGCGCTCCACTTGGCCAGAACCTCTCTTTGTGTGGAGGCGAGAGCTGCCACGCAGCCCCGGGCTGCACGGGGTGGCCAGCACCCACAGACTCCGGGTGGGGCAGGGCGGTGCGGAGAGTTTTGTTTACCTCTGCCTAAGAGACAGGCTCAGGGTAGCAGAAAGCACCTGGGCTCCCTGGTCAGGGCAATCCAGGTGTGCATCCTGTTCTGTCACTAATCTGCTGTGCAGTTCTGATCCCAGTGCCTCAATCTCTAGTTGTGTGACGTTGGACAAAACCATAACGTCTCTGAGCCTTCTTCCCCTGCCCTGCAATGGGATAACAGCACGTGCTTTGAAGGCTCAACTAGAGGTGGGTAGGCACCTGGAAATGATCAAGACCAGTGGTCTTCAGACTCTCCCCCCTTGAACAATGGAAAATGATTTATGAATAAAATTTTACAATATCTAAAAGAGAGAAGAGATACTACTGAGGCTGAAGCAAGAGTGGGGACCAGCATCCTGGGTGCCTGGCCTGCCTGGACAGAGCTGGAACCTCACAGTACTGGCCCCACAATATGTGGCCAATAGCTCCACTATGTGACTGTCAAGCTTTCATCTTCCTTCTTTACTGCTTTCCGCATTAAACTAAAGAAGCCTGCTCTCCCTCCACTCTCCCCTACCCAAAGGGAAACGTTTCTAGAACCCGAAGATTGGGCTTTTAGCTCTGAGGTGATGGTGTCTACATTCCCAGGCACTTGAGCTGCATTTGAGCCAACCCCCCTCACAGATTCAGCCTTCTGGGCCCAAAGTCAGGACTGTCACACAGGCCTTCGCTGTCCTGTCATTCTGATGTCCACCAGGAGTTACCACAAGGCAGAGGGCTTTAAACTATTCTGGTCTGGAAGGAGCTGGCAACCAAAGTCACAAAACCTGGCCACCCCGAGGTATATCTCATACGACAGGGATGGCCTGACTTACCGTCATTGTTCAAAACTTCAGGCTTAAAACAAACAAACAAACAAACAAACAAACAAACAAACAAAAAACTTCAGGCTTACAGAGCACACCAGTTAGTAACTCACCACCGACCTCAGAAAAGGTTTACATCTCGTTCCTTCTTTCAACTCATAGATCCTTAGGTTATGGGTGTTTGGGGAAAGGTTTCCATATTTCCATGACTAAGCTTAAATCGCCACTTGCTCTTGAAAACCCTCTGCAGTCTCCAGTGGGCAGGGGACCCACAGCTGCTCCTGGCTCTGCCCTCAACTGTATGGCACTAGGACAGCGGTATTTCCTTCCTGGCAGCAGCAAAACGAAGAGCCCTTGTGGCCCCAGCGTTCCCCACCAGTCCAGGCTGATGGTCACTTGTCAGTGCTCCCCGATTTACCTGGGAGTCTGCATTCCTTCTTGCCAGAGCCTTTTAGCCTCTGAAAAGCAAATGCCACAGCTCAAGCTGGCCTGTCTACACATGATGAGACTCATCTACGTGCGTGCCCTCCCAGAGGTGCACACTGTACAGGCAGGGGCCTGGCACAGAGTGGGCACACCCGTGGCTTTCTGGGATTGAGCGTATGTAAGAGCAGCGGAGCAGATGGGATAAGGAGGAACCCAGGGTCGGGATGGGACTCACCGAGCCTCCTCCGTGGTAGTGGCTGAAGGACACGTGCCGGAAGCCCTGCTGCACGGAGATCCCCAGGCCTGGGGGTGGGTCCTGGTAGCCCATCGGGAATGGGCGGTAGGAGAACATGCCGGGGCAGCTGGGATACAGCTTGGCAGGCTCTCTCTCCAGGTACTCAGACCGCACCATAGCATCCGAGTTGATGCTCACAGAGAGCCCTAAAAGAGCAAGCAATGGGAAAAGCATTAAAAATACAAAGAGCGAGGTGGGGGGGGCGGGGAAGCATCCCAGTACTGTCCAAAGATGGGGTAAATGTTCAGATCCATTTACAAAGAGCTCCCACATCCATTATGCTTTGCACCCTCCCTGCATTTTACACCGTTCAGCCCCGTCCCAGGTTCTTAGGAAAAGCCCTCAGCACAGCCATGAAGCCCCAGGCGGCACCCTGCCTCCCCTCCAGCCTCCTCCAGTGCGAGGACCTGGCAGCAGCTTCTCTGTCGCATCCCCCTCAAAGCCCTTGCGGACGCGCTTCCCTAACCTTGAGGGGCTCTCCCTTCAACCACTTTGCCTCTAAGTCCTCAGTCCTCCTCCTTAGGACCTCAGCTAAGCCGTTAGCTAGGAGAGCTCTCTACACTGATGTGCGATTCTTTATTAGTGCTGCTCCTCTCACAAGACCAGATGCTGAGGGAAGGAATCTGACTCCCCCGCAGCTTTTGCCACTATGTCCCGCGGTTAAGTGCTCAGCCCCTGTGCGCGGAGAGATGGAAACAAGGAAGCACTGTGCCAGTGGAAAGGTATCCCCCTACAGGTCTGCTATTTCAGGTCTGTCCTCCTCATCTAGTTCCCGGGGACCAGATTTTCCTAGAATATTCCAGAAGGCAGACATGGCCTTCGGGGAGCGCCCAGGCCGATCTCCTTAGCACACGGACCGGAGACTGGTCCAGAAGCAGCAGCTAAGGTGCCGGAGTGAGCAGCCCCTGGTCACCTGACTCGGACTTGTGCTCTTCCTATTGCCCACCATAGGGAGCGCCAGCAGGGGTCTGCACTTTCAAACGGCCGTTTTTTAAAAGCCTCAGACCTACATGTGACCTGCAGTACTTTAACAGTGAAAGTAAAATTCACATCGTTACATAAAGAACATTGTAACTTGCGCACATGGGGGTCAGGAGAAAAAAATAGGCAATATCTCAATGAACTGTCTTCTCCTTTGTGGAGCACAAAGGCGGTCGCATCCCCACCCACATCCCGGGAATGGATACAAAATGAGGTGCGCAGGCGCACGGGGCCAGGCTCCGGTGTGGGGCGGGGCCTTCAGAAAGAGGAGAGGGTGCGCAGGCGCAGTCACAGCTTAGCTAGCCCATCCGTCTGCAGGAAGTCCTGCCATTGGTAGCTTCCCGCTCAAGAAAAGAGCGGGAAAGAGCGCGCAGGCGTGTTGGAGCAAGGCCCAGAGGGAGGGAAGCCTTCTGGGAAGCCTCCAGCTCCGGGAAATGGGGGAGAGTGCGCAGGCGCGGTCAGCATGGCGCTGGCCCACCCCCAGAGTCGTCCTTGCTGTGGGGGAGGTGCCTGCAGCGCGAGAAAAGAGCGGGAAGCAATGCGCAAGCGCAATAGGACCAATGTCTCCACGAGGCGCCCAGCTAAGCGGACTGGAGGCCATTTTTTTCTTTCTTGCAAGATGGAAAGGCAAACTCTGTAGCTAAATACTGGAGGCCATTTTTTTTTCTTCTTGCAAGATAGAAAGGCAAAAACTGTAGCTAGATACCGGAGGCCATTTTTTCTTCTTGCAAGATGGAAAGGCAAAGATTGTAGCTAAATATTGAAAGCCATCTTCACCACCCACTCTTTTCTATCTCTTTTGCTTTTATGCAAAAAGGCCCTCAATCCAAATCTGTATGTGGAGAAAGGTTTCTGAAAGCAAATTTAACTCAGAAAGCATTTCCCCACCTCCCCTACCCCAAGTCACTCCTTGCACCATGAGGTGCAAGGAGGTTGCAGCCCTGGGAGGGACCCATGGCACAAGAAGGGGCCCCGGGGTCTTACCGAAGGCGAACGGCGGCGGCGGCGGCGGCGGCATGGGCACGGGCTGCAGAGGCCGGCTCGGCTCCTGGGGACCCGCGCCTCCCTGGCCCGCGGCGGCCTCCGGCCCGAGCAGGGGCCTCACGGAGCTGGGCCTGGCCACGGCCGCCCGGTCACTCGGGCCCATGTGGCCGCGGCCGCCCAGGACCGGCTGGAAGGCACTGGGGCCCGGGCTGGGGCCGCACGGGGGCCTCTCCAGCAGGTAGGCGGCCACGCGGCCCTCGGGGCCCGGCTCCGGGTCGCCAGCAGCGGTGAGCGGAGGCAGCGGGCGCAGGCTGGAGGCCGGGCCGATGGCCGCGGCCCTGGAGGCCAGCTCCCGGTCCTCCTCGGAGGCCTGCTTCTTGAGCATCTTCTGCGCGGCCATGATCTTCTGGCGTTCGGTGATGAGGAAGCACTTCTCGCAGTTGCACTGCTTCCAGCGACATTTGCCGGCATGGCCCTTGACTGCCACCAGGTAGCCGTGGTTGCGGCACCGCGAGCAGTTGGGGGTGCGCAGCATCTTGTCGGCCGCCTTGGCGGGGTCTGCCTTCATAGCACAACCGCCGCCTCCGGGAGCCGCAGAGCAAGTGAAAGCGGGAAGCCGGCCCCCAGAAGTCCCTGCTGCTGGGGACACTGGATACACTTGTAACAAAGTGGGTCTCAGTACATCCCCGGAACTGCCGCGAGACCCTTGCACTTTCCCAACTTTGGAGGGGGTGCAAAATTTGAAGTTTCTGTGCCTTAGTTCGATGCAGGGTAGTTAAATAAATTTTAAGTGAAATGCTATTGCATGTGTGTCATCTAGGCTATCTGGAGGTTTAGGCATTTAATTTTTCCAAAGTTTCTATTCTCGTCACCCCCGAGATAGGTGCTTTGTGACGTTCGTCGGCGCAGGGATGTGCAGTGGCCCAGGATTTAAAGCTCCAGGAACGCAGCTCTCGGCAAAGCCGTTCCAGCAGGAAAGCATTCTACGACGCAAGCCGTGTTTCTCCCTCCAAAGCAGCTGCCTCCTCTGCACCTCATTTCTCTACCCTGCAGAGAAGCAGCCCGTCCCAGTGATGCTTCTAGAATATTCTCAAGAGCACAGTGCAGTGTAATCGTTGCTCAAGGGTGCATCCTATGAGTAACTCCCATTTAAGAGTCTTGTTGGTATAGGAGTTCATTGCTGTCGATGCTTTCCAAAGTAAAGCATGCTTAGGAAGCTTTAAAGTGAAATAGACTCAGGGCATTTTAGCACGAGTTTGAATCATTGCTTAACTTTGCCATGAATTTAGTTATAACCTGTAAAGCAACCCAAATCTTGGAACAGCTGAAAAGCTGGCATGAATTTCATAGTTTCCCAAATCACTTCATTTTCTTATTTGACAGACATTTGTGACACCTGAGGTCTTTGTGTTTTTTAGGTTCCCAGAAAGAAAAACAATGGGCCACTCACACCTAAGTTGAAAGCTTATAAGCAAACATATTTAAGGAGGTAGTTGTGGTTAACACCTAACTAAAATGTGCCCTTTACCTTGCCTTTCTCTGAAACTCTCTCTGGTGGCAGAAAGGCAGAAGCTGAGGCTTCATGCCCGCCTGGGTTTTCCGGCCTCTGGTAGCGGCTGACTACGCATGTCGCACCGGCTGCCTGGGAATAGGAGACTGTGCCATGCTGAGGCCGGTTAGATACTGGGAGCTTTTGTAAAGGAGTTTCTAAAGCCTTTTTTTTTTTTTCTCCTGCTTTAAGGAAATATATTCCTATCTTATTCAGAGGGCAAGAGTATATCCTTCTGTATTATTTGGCCCTTCAGGAATTTCACTGGCAATTTTACATCCATTTAAAGAAATCTAGGTTTGTCTCTGCTTTGCTCTAATATCCTCTATTTTAATTTGTTGTTGTTGTAGTTAATCCTCATCCAAGGGTATTTTTCCCATAGATTTTTTAAAATTGTTTCTTAAAAAAGGGGGAGACAGAATGAAAGAAACATCAATGTGAGAGAGACACATCGATTGGTTGCTTCTCCCATGTACCCCAATCTGGGCCAGAGATAGAGCCTGCAACCGAGGTGTGTGCCTTTGACCAGAGTCAAACCCGAAACCCTTCAGTCCAAGGGCCAATGCTCTAACCATTTAGCTAGACAGGCTAGGACTCTATCTTAATCTTTTGTTTTAAAAACATGGTCCTATAGATAAAAGGACAAGCAAGCTCTTTTCTGATTCTACCCAATTCAAAATATCAAATTTTTCACAATCCGGTCATTTGAAAATGGTAGTTTAAAAATCATAGTTTCAGCCGAAACCGGTTTGGCTCAGTGGATAGAGCATCGGCTTGCGGACTGAAAGGTCCCAGGTTCGATTCCGGTCAAGGGCATCAAACCTGGGCAAAGGTCCCAGGTTCGATCCCCAGTAGGGGGTGTGCAAGAGGCAGCTGATCGATGATTCTCTCTTGTCGATGTTTCTAACTTTCTATCCCTCTCTCTTCCTCTCTGTAAAAAATCAATAAAATATATATTTTTTTAAAAAATCATAGTCTCAGTACCACTGTCAAAAATCTGGAGCATTAGCTTTATTGTTTAATGATATTGCAAATTGTTAGGTCATTTTCTGCATTATCAAATTTAAATTTTTAACATCAGGTGACATCAGATGATAGGGCCTAAAAAAGAAAACCACTCATATATATTTTATGCTTGAGCACCCATGCTCTCTTCATCTTCCTATTAATTATTTAAAGTAAATTCTATTTAAAGCCAACCGTATGAATTAACATATTTTAGCCTTGTTAACTACAAAATGCTTCCATATTTACTTTATAGCATGGGGGGGAAAATATACCCAAGGTGATGTGAGTTTGCATACGTTTTGAGAATATTAATAAACAACCATATATCTTTTTAATTAGTAGTCACATTGTAAGATGTAGAAACTCCAGAGTTTATACAGTAAATAAATCTAAGAAGAAAAAAAGACTAGTTTATTTCTCTTCCTTGCCAAAGTCTCAATTTGTGTAGGTAAATTCCAGCAGAGCTTTATTTATTTCACTCTTGGAAATTCAGACAAATTGATAGTTTTGTTTTATTTAGCTTGAGGACTGATTACTTCTAAGGCTGCTGCTTTTCTACTATATATATTTCTTTAAATTGTTCCTTTAAAAAGTGGTAACAGATGGCAATGACATAAACATGAAAAACAGGAAGTCAAAAGGATGGGAGCAATAAGTACACACATTCCCTTTCCTTCCCTACACCTAGCCTTAGGAAATTTATGTTTAGGAAAGTCTGCATTGTCATAAGCAGAGATTTATAAAATAATAAGTTATAATTGCCAAGGAATCAGCAGTTAGACTAATTAACCATGAAGGGCAGTTTGGCAGTCATATCTGACTCACAGCTTCATTTATGTCCTCTTTTCCCTCAGAGTCCCAAGTTTTCTACCTTGAATAACATCTCTTCTCTTTAGTTAATATGGTTGCTATTGATACTGTTTAATTCATATTTATTGTAAGAGCCTTATATTATGCAATGCATGCGGTATTACTTATAATTGTCACATATTGTATGCACTGCAATATGTCCTTACTAGTAGCACACAAGAGTAAGGAAGGCCTTTTTTGCTAACAGCATCTTTCCCCCAGCAGCTGTAACCCAGATATCTGCTATCTTCCCCTTCTTCAGGCTCTCTGAGCAATGAAAAGTTTAGTGAAGATTTTGTAGGGAATGGAGGGGAGTATTTATATGACGCATCCTATACCCAGTGCTTTAAAATCCTGCTATAGCATGTCTGTTCTCTCATGAGCCTCTTCTGCTGTGCTATACCCACTGGAAACTCTGCCTTCCCTTTTCTCCCCCACCCCTCGCCTCCAGCCTCTCTAGCTTTCTTTTCTAAATTTTTTGAGAGCTCTGTAACAGCTGTGACTATCTTATTTTCCTTTATGTCTAGCACAAAATAGACATTCAGTAAATATTTGTTGAATGTATAAATGAATCTTGCCTCCCTCTCCTGCCAGTGTCAAAGTTATAATTGGCACAGTAAATCAACTTGGCTTCAGCAATTTTCACCAAACATTATACAAAACAGAAAGCCCAAAGTGAATAGGACCACTCTCGTGAGAAGCAGAATTTGGGGATTAACGTTGATTTCTTGAATTCACCCCTATCTCTAATTGTTTGATAAAAGTACTAGTAATAGCTAGCACTAAGTGTCTACATGTGCCAGTAATTCTTAAGTCCTTCATGTGTATGAATGCATCTAATTCTCACTAACAACTCTCTAAGGTGGGTGCTATTATTTTCACCCTCATTTTATACATGAAGAAACTAAGGCCTAGGGAGGTTAAGTAACTTGCCCAAAGTTTTAAAGCCATTAAATGGCAGAGCCATGATTCAAAAACAGAAAATCGATCCTCAGAGTCCATATTCTTAACCATATATCTGCTAACTCAATATTTCTTTAAAACAAACACAGTGTTCTCCTCAAGAAAAGATTGGTGATGAATAGAAATGTTTGTCTTATTATATATCCTGTCACAGTTGAGGCAAAAGCGGTGAAAGTAATAGCAACCTGAGGGAACTTCCTAGGACACCCAGCTTAGTCGTTTTCCTTCACCAACAGCCAGGCGTTATTGAGTACCAACTATGTGTAAACGTAAGGGGCACAGAAGTAAATAAGAAGACGGGAATCTTACCTTTAGGCATACTTTCTATCTGGCAAACCATACAGTAAACAATTCCAAACAAAAGGGGAATGGTGAGGGTGAAGAAGGGGGCAGGATACTATGGGAACTCATATGAGGGTCCTAACCCAGATCAAGAAATCAAGGAAGAGTTCCTTGAAGGCTGATTCTAAGCTGAGGTCTAAAGGATGAGTAGGAATTAGCCAGGTACAGGAGTATGGAAGGTATGTTCCTGACAGAGGGGACAACACGGAAGGTCTGCAGTGTGGCTATAATAGTGAGGTCAGGAAACTGGGGAGCGATGAGGTGTAGAGGTTAAGCAGTAGGCGGGTGTTGGAGGGAATCTTGGGGGAAATGATGGGAGTTGCTATCTAAGACTAAGGAGAGAAAATGAAATGGCAAGAGGCAGGCCAAACTAGAATCCACACATCTAGACGTCTAAACCCTGCCCTTGGTTTTTCTTTCAGAAAGTGGAACAATAAGTAACTAGGACTCACAGAAGGTATGACAGTATTAAAATGGAGTTAAGTGGGGCTTGAGGGGAGGGGTCCAGATGGGACACACAGTCAAGGTTCGTCATGGCCCTGAACTAGTACGATGCTAGGCAGTGCTGTTCCTCCTAACCCTGGAGCCTTCTGACTGCTTCTTAGGAATCTCCTAGGAATCAGAAAGAGGCGAGGTACAAAAGCAGCAGTGATGGAAGACAAAGGAGTGATAGGAATCAAACAGAAAGTAATTGAAGAAGTTATATATAGGTAAAGACAGGAACAAACAATTCTGTGGAGCAGATAAAAAGTACATTGGGGCAGAGAGGAAATGCTCAAAGTGGCATTGCTAGCTGAATTAGACCCCGTAGCACTGACATTTGTTTGGTTTGGTTTTTACTCGCTAATTTGATGGGG